CAGACACCTTCACACAGCCTGAGGGGGAGAGGGGGAGACATGGGTCAGAACGGATACACACACACACACACACACACACACACACACACACACACACCCTCCCATAAGAGCACCGCCCAGGGCTGTTTGTGGAACATCGTCACAGGCTGCACTGCTGCTCTCCTGACACACCCGGCAGACCTGGGAGGGCTCAACTTCAGGGAGGAGAGACGTCTTTTCATCAGTCACAGGTTAGGGAAGGGCAAAATTTTGGGTAGAAACACTGCCTATGGCCGTGTGGTCTCAGAAGCCAATGCAGGGTGGGGATGTTCTCAACTGAGAGGAAGGGCTGGTAGGTTCTACTGCTGGCTCAGCGGGGTTCTCTTGGACCCCAGACAACTAAGGACTCTGATGGGGATCATTAGAGTTTGGACGAATCTGACCAGCAGTAGTTGTTGTCAAGTGGCCTTGAGTTGGTTCTGACTAATAGACACCGGATGCACAACAGAGCAAACACAGCCTGGTCCTGGTCCTGAGCTCTACGGATCAGTGTTCTTAGGTTTGAGCCCAGGGTTGTAGCCACTGTGTCCATCCGTCTCATCGGGGACCTTCTTGTTTTTTGCTGCTTCTCTTCTTTACGGCGCATGATGTCTTTGTCTCTTGATCAATGTTCAAAGTATGTGAGATGAAATCTGGCCATCCTTCCATTCAAGGACCATTCTGGTCGTATTTTGGATATTCTTCTCATAATTCACATGTACATATTTTCTTCAGTCTTTCTTTTTTAATGTCCAACTCTCACAGGTATAGGAGGCAATTGGAAATACCATGGCTACGGTCAGGCACATCTTATTCCTCATCCGTGCTTTTCAACACTCCAAAGAAATCTTGCCCAGCAGATTTACCCCATGCAAGTTGTCATTTGATTTTTTGACTGCTGCTTCCATGAGGATTGATTGTGGATTCAGGAAAGACAAAATCCTTGACAAGTTCAATCTTTTTTCCATTTAGCAAGATGTTACCCATTGGTCCAGTTGTGAGGATTTTGGTCTTCTTGGCATTGAATTGTCACCCATACTGAAAGCTGCAATCCTCGATCTTCATCGGCAAGTACCTCAATTCCTCAATTCCAGCAAGCAAGGTTGTATTCCCTGCATATCACAGATTGTGAATAAGCCTTCCTCCAATCCTGATGTCATATTCTTCTTCATCGAATCCAGCTTCTCTGATGATTTGCTCATCATACAAATTGAGTAAGGATGGTGAGAGGCTACAACTCTGACACACACCTTTCCTGATTTTAGACCATGCAGCATTCCCTTGTTCTGTTGGCAGAACTGCCTCTTGATCCATGGACAGGTTCCACAGGAGTACAATGAAGTGTTCTGGGATTCCCGTTCGCCTCCGGGCTTTGGTCGTTGCTCATATGCTACCTCCTGACATGGTTGCATGTCGATGAGTTCTTTTTGGTACAGTGACTGTGTATTCTTTCTATCTTCTTTTAATGCTTCCTGTGCCATTCAATATTTGTTTTGACTCATTGTGTTAGGTGGAGTTCTCTGAAGAAGGAAAACCAGTGACCCCGTGTATCTGTTGTCTATAGAAAGCGATTTCCGTCAGGAAATGGCTGAGACCGTTGTAAGAAATAGGTACGTCCAGTCTGGTTCAAGTCCGGCTTCTTCCAACATATGGAAGCTGAAGAACAGGAAGCAGGATGATGAAGCAGAGACAGCAGGGGGTACAGGCTAGTTGAGGCAGGGTTCGAAAAGTTGGCTGGGTGACTCAACCATTGGTGGTCCACTGGCCAACTCCTGGGAGCTGCAGGTGATGAAACAGGACATTGTAATGCAAGATCCAGCTTTGGCAGAAGACGAAGGGCCAAAGACAATGCAACCCTCTTTTGTCTCACTCTCTTAACCCCAAAGACTTATGACACCAAGGAGGCGTCATCAGGGTGCAAAGCAATTGGTAGAGTGAATTCAGCCTGCACATTTATTCACAAGTGTCTGATTACATAATCCTTAACCACCACACCCATAGAAACTTTGAATATTGCAACTTGAAGCTTGAATTTTTAAGTTCTTTTAGTTTAAGATAAGCTGGTCTTGCTCTTCCTTTTTGATTTTCTGCCTTTAGGCCTTTGCTCATTTAATCACATTTTACTTTTAAAGTTTCCCTTTGGAATTTCCTGTTCATCTCTTTGACTTCATCATTTTTTATGTTTGCCTTAGCTACTCTATGATTAAGAGCCAGTCTCAGTCCCTTCTGACATCTGCGTCGATCTTGTCTGTCTTTTTGGTGAAGTTTTGCTTTCTTCGCATAGGATGTTCTTGACGCCCTTCCACAGCTCAAGGCTTCTACATTAGTGCCCTGGCGTCAAGTCCGTTCTTGCAATTC